TCTGCAGCTGGCAGATGGTAATTTTGTCAGCGCCGATTGTGTTTAAGTGCAGGCCAAGGTCTTGAGGCACTGCACCCAGTGTGTCGATCACCACTGGGACCACCTTGACTGGTTTGTGCCAGAGTCTTTGCAGTTCAATCTTTAAGTTATCATTATTATTATTATTTGAAACACAACAAGATGAGTCCACAGCATACACTCTGCTGGCTGTTGTATTGGATCACACGTTGGACACTTCCCAAGTGTCTAGGACTGTGTGATGTATCGGCAAATAATGCGTGCAGATCCCAGTAAGTTGGCCTTCTGCAGCTGGCAGCTGGTAATTTTACACACAATATGCAGATGGCTATTGTGTTTAAGTGCAGGCCAAGGTCTTGAGGCACTGCACCCAGTGTGCCGATCACCACTGGGACTACCTTGACTGATTTGTGCCAGAGTCTTTGCATTTCGATCTTTAAATTATTATTATTATTATTATTATTATTATTATTATTATTATTATTATTATTATTATTATATCCCACGCTTTTTCTTTCTACAAGGAAACCAAAGCAACCATTTATGGGATTCCCTAAACTGGAAATCACATATCCAACATTTCCCAGCTGAAAGCCAAGCCATGTCAGCAATATCAGAACGGGATCAAAGTGGCAAAAATTACGAAGAAGGAAGGACCGCTTGCCACAGGTTGCTTTTGCCTGAGTGTGCAGGGAAGGGCAAGGCCGTTCTACCCAAACAGGGCAACCTTTGCCTTGTTGAACGAAAGGCTGAAATATATCAATGCCTGTTTCATTTACAGACAGGCAAAACAAAGGGAGCAATTAAATCAAAGGCCTCCTTTTGCGTGGCTAATAAATAATCCATGTTTCAACAGCTTGGATGTGTACTTTCGACAATGCCGAAGCCCTGCCCAAGCTGGGATCAGAGCCAAGACTGTTGTTGCCGTTGCCTTTGCCCTTATAGTTTTCTGGGGTTAAGAGGAATATTCTGGGCAAGGTTTGCTACTTCGTGGTTCGCTTTTCGCGGACTCACTGTTTTGCAGTTTTTCAATATGGAGTTAAGAGCGTTTGCCTCTGCGGATAAAGCTAGAGCCGACGATTACATGAACAACACAGGAGGTGCTTGGGTGTCTCCCAATTAGTTCAGTGTTTTTAGCAGCGATACTAGCTGAATGCCGTCTGTGCTCTGTCTCTTTTCTTTCTAGAAATGTGGGCACTCATCGTCTGATTCTTCTTCTCCCTCCAATTCCTGAGCACGTCCCTGCTCCCCCTTCCTCTTCCAAAGATGAGGAATATCTAACAAAAAATATTATTATTATTATTACTATTACTACAGCAGTCCCTTCCTACTTCGCAGTTTTTCACTTTTTGTGGACTCGCTGTTTCACGTTTTTTCAGTATGGAGTTAAGAGTGTTTGTATGGAGTGGCTGCCTCTGTGGATAAAGCTAGAGCCGACAATTACATGAACAACACAGGAGGTGCTAGGGTGTCTCCCAATTAGTTCAGTGTTTTTAGCAGCGATACTAGCTGAATGCTATCTGTGCTCTGTCTCTTTTCTTTCTAGAAATGTGGGCACTTTCAAACATTCCTCGTCTGATTCTTCTTCTCCCTCCAATTCCTGAGCACGTCACGTCCCTGCTTCCGCTTTGTCTTCTGAAGATGAGGAATACCTAACAAAAATTATTATTACTACTACTACTACTACTACTACTACTACTACTACTACAACAGTGGTCCCTTGATACTTTGCAGTTTTATTACTAAGTCCTTAATAGCAGACACAAAGCAGATTCCATTGACAAGAAAACATCAGTATCTGGCCCATGTTACCAGCGAAAACTGACTGCTCCTGCCTCTGATTTATAGCCCTGAATTCCGCACACAGGAGGTGCTAGGGTGTCTTCCAATTAGCTCAGCGTTTTTAGCAGCTATACTAGCTTAATGCTGTCTGTGCTCTGTCTCTTTTCGTCTCTCTAGAAATCTGGGCACTTTCAAACACACCTCGTCTGATTCTTCTTCTCCCTCCAATTCCTGAGCACTTCCCTGCTCCCCTTCCTCTTCCGAAGATTAGGAATCCCTAACAAGCATCCTGTATTATTATTATTATTATTATTATTATTATTATTATTATTACTAAGTCCTTCGTAGCAGACACAAAGCAGATTCCATTGAGAAGAAAACATCAGTATCTGGCCTGTTGTTACCAGTGAAAACTGACTGCTCCTGCCTCTGATTTATAACCCTGAATTCCGCACACAGGAGGTGCTAGGGTATCTCCCAATAAGTTTAGCGTTTTTAGCAGCGATACTAGCTGAATGTTGTCTGTGCTCTGTCTCTTTTCGTCTCTCTAGAAATGTGGGCACTTTCAAACACACCTCGTCCGATTCTTCTTCTCCCTCCAATTCCTGAGCACTTCCCTGCTCCTCTTCCTCTTCTGAAGATGAGGAATTCCTAACAAATATCCTGTATTGTTATTATTATTATTATTATTATTATTATTATTATTATTGTGGTCCCTTGCTACTTCGTGGTTTTTTTCACTTTTCGCGGACTTGCTGTTTTGTGGTTTTTCAATAAATATTAATGTAAAATATTTTTCGTGGTATTTCCACTGTTTCGTGGTTTTTTGCGATACTCGGTAAAACAGCAATCTCGTGTGTCGACTGGTTCTCCCACCAAATCAGGCAAATTCACTGCTGGCAAGGGGTGGTTTGATAAATTTCAGACGTAAGAGCGTTTGTCTGTATGGAGAGGCTGACTCTGCAGATAAAGCCGGAGCCGAGGATTACATGAACAACACATTCAAGGAGGGTTATGTAGTGTGTAAGTGTGTGGGGAGGGTTTATAAAGACTTGAAAGAGTGTATAACTACTAAAATATTGTCCCTACTTCACGGATTTTCACTTTTCGCGGGTGGTCCTGGAACGTAACACCAGCGATAAGTGAGGGAACACGGTATTGGTATTCATAATACTGAGGCCTTTGCACAGGGGGATATAACAACAACAACAACAACAACAACAGAATATAGGCAAGGCGCGATTCCTTAACAGGACTAGGATAATAACCTTGGATCTTGGACTTGGCTCTTATCTGAGCAGCCTTCTAATCTCCTTCCTCATCAGGTTATGCACCTTGTCGCTTTATCTCAGTCCGGAGAACGCACGCCAAATCTGCGGAGGGATTTCGAGAGAGAGAAGAATTAGCCAGGATCGAGACCTCACCTTCCTTGAGGTAAGACAGACTTTGGAAAGATGTGTAGGGACACCTTGATTTTACAGTACAGAGAATGTTGGGTTCCTTTGAGTTTTTTGTGCAGTATGTTCCTGTAGCACTCTTTCCTGACGTTTTGCCTATACCTATGGCAGGCACCCTAGGCGGTTTGAAAATGAGGCAAGTGGAGTGTATATATCCCTATAGAATGATCTCCAGTGTGGGAGAAAGAACCCTTGTCTGTTTGGAGCGAGTGTTGATGCTGCAGTTAGCAACCTTAATTAGCATTGAGTAGCTTTGCAGTTGCAAAGTCAATCAGTGTGGGTATCTGCATCGAGGCAAGTGGTGTGTGTATATATACCTGTGGAATAATGTCCTGGGTGGGAGAAAGAACCCTTGTTTGGAGCAAGTGTGACTTTTGCAATGAGCAAGCTTGGTTAGTATTGAGTAGCCTTGCAGCTTCAAAGCCAATCAGTGAAGGTATCTGCATCAAGGCAAGTGGTGTGTGTGTGTGTGTATCTGGAATAATTCCCAGGGAGGGAGAAAGAACCCTTCTCTGCGTGAAGCAAATGTTAATGCTGCAGTTAGCAACCTTGATTAGCATTGAGTAGGAGCCCCCGGTGGCGCAGTGGGTTAAAGCCTTGTGCTGGCAGGACTGAAGACCGACAGGTCGCAGGTTCGAATCCCGGGAGAGGTGGATGAGCTCCCTCTATCGGCTCCAGCTCCTCATGCGGGGACATGAGAGAAGCCTCCCACAAGGATGATAAAACATCAAATCATCCGGGCGTCCCCTGGGCAACGTCCTTGCAGACGGCCAATTCTCTCACACCAGAAGCGACTTGCAGCTTCTCAAGTTGCTCCTGACACGACAAAAAAAAAAAAGGATTGAGTAGACTTGCAGCTGCAAAGTCAATCAGTGAAGGTGTCTGTATTGAGGCAAGTGGGGTGTGTGTGTGTGTATCTGGAATAATTTCCAGGGTGGGAGAAAGAACCGTTGTCTGTTCGGAGCAAGTGTGATTTTTAAAACGAGCAAGCTTGGTTAGCATTGAGTAGCCTTGCAGCTGCAAAGCCAATCAGCGAAGGTATCTCCATCAAAGCAAGTGGTGTGTCTGGAATAATTTCCAGGGTGGGAGAAAGAACTCTTGCCTGCTTGAAGCAAGTGTTAATGCTGCAGTTAGCAACCTTGATTACCACTAAGTAGCTTTGCAGCTGCAAAGTCAATCAGTGAGGGTATTTGCATTGAGGCAAATGGAGTTTATATATCCCTGTGGAATAATTTCCAGGGTGGGAGAAAGAACCCTTGTCCGGAGCAAGTGTGACTTTTGTAATGAGCAAGCATGGTTAGCGTTAAGTAGCCTTGTAGCTGCAAAGTCAATCACTGAAGGTATCTGCATTGAAGCAAGTGGAGTTTATATATATCTGTGGAATAATTTCCGGGGTGGGAGAAAGAACCCTTGTCAGCTTGAAGCAAGTGTGAATATTGCATTAAGCAAGCTTGAATAGCATTGAGTAGCCTTGCAGCTGCAAAGTCAGTCAGTGAGGGTCACTGCATAGAGGCAAATGGAGTTTATATATCCCTGTGGAATAATGCCCAATGGCCTGGGCCATGTCTGAGATATATACGTTATATAACAGGCACGAGCCAACTTCGGCCCTCCAGTTGATTTGGACTTCAACTCCCAGAATTCCTAACAGCCAGTAAGCTGTTTAGAATTGTGGGAGTTGGAGTCCAAAACACTTGGATGGCTGAAGTTGGCCTGTGAAGTTTGTCCTCTCCTCTCTTCCAGGCCAAGATGCTTCGCTTCCTGGCGCTCCTCTTCCTCCTTGTCGTTTTCCGGCTATTCCTGGACTTGCCTTGGATCCAAGTCATCCCAGCCATCCTCATCTTTTACTTGGGATCCGGAGGATGGAAGTTCCTTTACATTGTTGTGAAAACAGCCAAGCGGGATATCATGTATGTAGTGTTTTTTGGATTTAATCTGAATTTTTAAAAAATAATGTTTAATGCTGTTTTAATATTTCTATATTCCAAACCAGGAACAGAACATTTTCCCAATTTTGTTACATAGCGTTATCACATAATATTAATATATGATTAAATATAAATAAATAATATTAATTGAGTATGCCCGTTGCAACACACGATGGACTTACTGGATTATAAAATAATAATAGAATATATAATTAAATATAAATAAAATAATATTCATAGAGCAGGTCTTTTGCAACACATGGCGGGCGTATTAAATTGTTAAAAATATTATTACTATAGAATGAAATATAAATAAATAATATTTATAGAGCAGGTCCGTTGCAACACACTGTTGCATTGGTGTGTTGAATTGCAAAATAATAACATTAGTCATATCATTAAATATAAAGAAAGAATTTTAATTGAGTATGTCTGTTGCAACACATGGCAGCCGTATTGAATTGTTAAATAAATAATACTAATATAGAATTAAATATAAATAAATAATATTTATAGAGCTGATCCACTGCAGCACATGATTGGCATGTTGAATTGTTAAAGAATAGTATTAATGATATAATTAAATTTAAATACATAATAGTCATGGAGTGTGCTCTGTAAGTATTCAATAATATATTTAATTATATTATTAATACTATTCTTTTACAATTCAACACGCCAATCGTTACTTGCAGTGGATCAGCTCTATAAATATTATTTATTTATATTTAATTCTATATTCATATTATTTATTTAACAATTAAATGCGCCTGCAACAGACACCACATGGTATTAATAATATAAATAAATATAAATACATAGTAGTCATGGAGTGTGCTCTGTATGTATTAAATAATATATTTAATTATATTATTAATACTATTATTTTATTAAATATAATTATATAATAGTCATGGAGTGTGCTCTGTACGTATTAAACAATATATTTAATTATATTATTAATACTATTCTTTTATTAAATATAAATATATAATAGTCATGGAGTATGCTCTATAAATATTAAATAATATGTTGAATTATATTATTAATATTATTATTTTACAATTCAATATGCCAATACTTGTTGAATAATAAATCAATAACACTAATAATATTATATTAATATTTAATTAAATATACTTAAATAGTATTCATTGAATACGTCTGTTGCAACACACGATGGGCGGATTGAATTATAAAATAATAATACTATATATAATCTATATATATAAATCTGTTAGGTTGGTTCAACCGGACAGCAAAACTCCACAACCCCCCAACGAAACTTAACCAAAATTCCCATGCCCATAACACAACCCACAAGGTACAAACATATCTACTCAAAATGAAAAACAACACAACAACACACTCACAAAACGGCAAAACAACAAAACTCACAAACCCCCCAACGAAACTTAACCAAAATTCCCATGCCCATAACACAACCCACAAGGTACAAACATATCTACTCAAAATGAAAAACAACACAACAACACACTCACAAAACGGCAAAACAACTGAGCATGCGCATTGGCGCCCAGCCGCAAGTTCCCTGGCGCGCGCACATGGCCTTCCGGCCAACGTTCCCTCTGCGGAAACCATGCCCACTCCAAGCCCCGCCCGCTTCCTGCACACACACCCCCCTGCCGCACACACACACAACCCCAGCTCCATCACTCCCCCCGCGCACGCACACACACAACTCCATGCTCCATCACTCCCCCCGCCGCGCACACACACGCAACCCCACGCTCCATCACTCCCCGCTGCCGCACACACGCACCCCCACGCTCCATCACTCCCCCCGCTGCCGCAGACACACGCAACCCCACTCCCCCCGCCGCCACACACACACACGCAACCCCACGCTCCATCATCCCCCCGCCGCCGCACACACACACCCAACCCCACGCTCCATCACTCCCCCCCACCGCACACACACACGCAACCCCACGCTCCATCACTCCCCCGCCACTGCACACACACACGCAACCCCACGCTCCATCACTCCCCCGTCCACACACACGCAACCCCCCCCCCGCCGCACACACACGCACCCCCACGCTCCATCCTCCCCCGCCGCACACACACAGCAACCCTCCACACCCCCCGCACCACACACCCCACCCCCCGCCGCCGCACACACACACGCAACCCCACAGATCCACTCACCCCGCCGCCGCACACACACACGCAACCCCATGCTCCATCACTCCCCGCCGCACACACACAGCAACCCCACGCTCCATCACTCCCCCGCCGCCACACACACGCAACCCCTCCCCCCCGCCGCTGCACACACACACACACCCATGCTCCATCACTCCCCCCGCCGCTGCACACACACACACAACCCCACGCTCCATCACTCCCCCGCCGCCGCACACACACGCAACCCCACTCCCCCCGCCGCCGCACACACACACGCAACCCCAGGCTCCATCATTCCCCCTGCCGCTGCACTCACATAATAGTCCAGATATCTACCTCAACTTTGATAATTTTTGACTATAGGCCACAGCAACGCGTGGCAGGGCACAGCTAGTTACATATAAATAACATTCATTGAGATTGTCCATTGAAACACACAACCGGCGTGTTGAATTGTAAAATAATACTATTAATAATATAATTCAATATAAATACAGTATAGTCATGGAGTACGTCCGTTACAATGATCATAATAATTCAGTATAAATACATAATGGTTATGGAGTATGTCTGTTGCGACACACAACCAATTGAATTACATTGAATTATAAATTAGAATTAATAACCAGGAAGAGAACGTTTTGCTAACCATAGTGTGATAATAGTAATAACGGCCTCTGTTGTCTTCCCATTGCCTTACTTATGCCTTTCTCTCCCTTTCAGGGCCGGCTTGTCCCTTGCCTCAACCTGGGTGAACATGTGGTGGTACATGAAGAGTGGCAACACCATCCCGCGCATCTTCGAGCGAGTGGCGAAGAGGCATCCGGAGAAAGCGGCTCTCGTTTTCCAGGGGACGGGCGAGACCTGGACCTTCCGGGACTTGGAGAATTACTCCAACCGGGTGGCCAACCTCCTCTTTGAGAGGGGCTTCCGCTCGGGGGATGCAGTGGCCCTCTTCATGGAGTCGCGCAACCAGTATGTGGGCCTCTGGCTCGGCATGGCCAAGATCGGGGTGGAGGCGGCGCTGCTGAACTCCAATGTGCGGCAGGACGCTCTGGTCCACTGCGTCAACGTCTCCCAAGCCAAAGCTATCATCTTCGGGAGCGAGTTGTCTGCAGGTGAGAGAATGGAGTCGGGGAGACAGAATGCGTTGCGTTGAATGGTCAGAGGTTTAGGAGCAAAGCCCTAGGACAGGCATGGGCCCAATTCAGCCCTTCCTCCAGGTGTTTTGGACTTGGAGTTGAAAACACTTGGAAGGAGGGCCGAAGTTGGACCATGACTTTGTCCTCTTGGATCTGGACACTTCAGTCAATCAAGGGATCATCTGCATATCCATGTTACAGGGGTTGAAGTCCAAAACACCTGAAGGTAGGGCCGAAGTTGGACCATTACTTTGCCCTCTTGGAATTGGACACTTCAGTCAATCAACGGATCATCTGCCTACCCAAGTCGTGGGAGTTAGTCCAAAACACCTGGAGAGAAGGCCGAAGTTGGCCCATGACTTTGTCCTCTTGGAACTGGACACTTCAGTCAGTCAAGGGATCATCTGCATATCCACGTTACGGAGGTTGAAGTCCAAAACACTTGGAGGGAGGGCCGAAGTTGGACCATGACTTTGTCCTCTTGGAACTGGACACTTCAGTCAGTCAAGGGATCATCTGCATACCCACGTTACGGGGGTTGAAGTCCAAAACACCTAGTTTTCGCGGGTGGTCTTGGAACGTAACACCCGCAATAAGTGAGGGAACACTGTATATGGATATGGATATGGATACGGATAGGTAGTTAGACTTCAACAATACCCCTGTTCCAATTTACAGACAAATTCGACTTAAGGACAAATCTACAGACCTGAGGTCTGCCTGCATTGCAAAGAAAGTCCCATTGAGGAGGAGGAAAGCTTGCGTTCTGCTGCCCTGAAGCAATGGATTCAAATGGCAGGGAAAGAGACCCCACCCAAACATTAGGAAGCACTGCCTGATGATGAAAGCTGATCAGTAGTGCAGTATGTATGAGGGTTAAATGAAAAGTAATGCCTCCACCTTCATAACTTGGGTTTGGATGAGAATATTTGAATAAATCAAACACAGAAATTATCCTTAGAATGTGCTCTTCAACTACCACTATTCACTTTTCCACATAATCACCAGCCAATTGGATACATTTCTGCCAATGATGAACAGGTTTTCTGAAACCGTCACGGAAGAAGTCGACACTGTTTCCACAACCAGTGTCTCACGGTTCTCTCATCCTGGGTACCCATTGTGCACAGATCTTCTGATAGCCAAGCAAAGCAATAATGTGACCCACACGTTCTTGTGAAATGCCGATTATGCTTGAAATTTCTCTCTGAGTGATACGACGATCGTCCTGAATCAGTCTGTCAACATTTGCTTGTGAAACTCAGTGGTTGCTGTCACAGGACGTCCAATTCTTTGTTTGTCACGCAAGTCAGATGTTCCCACCTCAACATCTTTAAACTTACTCGCCCAATGATGCACAGTACTCACATCAACACAATCACCATAAACAGCTTGCATTCTCTGATGAATCTCCTTTGGGGTGACACCTTCTGCTGTCAAGAATTCAATGACTGCACGTTGCTTAAGTCGCATTGACCGACCGTCTGCGCAGGGTTCCATACTTTGCACTTTAACAACACAACTGTTCAATGCTAAAACTTCCCGCCAAAATGGAACTGTAGAGGAGAGTCTACTGAACAAGCCAGTACCTGCCACATACCAGTACTGCCATCTGTTGAGGAGTTACGAAGGTGGAGGCATTACTTTTTCTGCTAAGGCTTCCTGCCAAAATGGAACTGTAGAGGAGAGTCTACTGAACAAGCCAGTACCTGCCTCATACCAGTACGGCCATCTGTTGAGGAGCTACGAAAGTGGAGGCATTACTTTTTCTGCTAAAGCTTCCCGCTAAAATGGAACTGTAGAGGAGAGTCTGCTGAACAAGCCAGTACCTGCCTCATACCAGTACGGCCATCTGTTGAGGAGCTACGAAGGTGGAGGCATTACTTTTTCTGCTAAGGCTTCCCGCTAAAATGGAACTGTAGAGAGTCTACTGAACAAGCCAGTACCTGCCGCATACCAGTATTTCCATCTGTTGAGGAGTTATGAAGGTGGAGGCATTACTTTTTCTGCTAAGGCTTCCCACCAAAATGGAACTGTAGAGGAGAGTCTACTGAACAAGCCAGTACCTGCCATATACCAATACGGCCATCTGTTGAGGAGTTACAAAGGTGGAGGCATTATTTTTTTCTGCTAAGGCTTCCCGCTAAAATAGAACTGTAGAGGGGAGTCTACTGAACAAGCCAGTACCTGCCGCATACCAGCACTGCCATCTGTTGAGGAGTTACGAAGGTGGAGGCATTACTTTTCATTCAACCCTCGTATGATTTATTTATTTATGATGGAGGCTGGTTGGGATGGCCATCCATCGGGAGGGCTTAGATTGCTGGATGGGGTTGGGGATGCTGTGAAACAGGCATGGGCCAACTTGGGCCCTCCAGATGTTTTGGATTTCAACTCCCATCATTCCTAACAGCCTACCGGCTGTTAGGAATGATGGGAGTTGAAATCCAAAACACCTGGAGGGCCCAAGTTGGCCCATGCCTGCTGTCAAATTATTCCAAATCCTTTCCACTTAATATTGATCTTGCTTATTCCCAGCTTTAAAGGAGGTGCAACCTTCACTCGGGAAGTCGGTCCACCTCTTCTGTTCCGGAGACCTGCAAGCGGAAAACATCCCAGTCGGTGCAGAACATCTGGATCCATTGATTCAGGAAGCCTCTTCCCTCGCACCCAAGCCTCCGGACAAGGGGTTTCTAGGTAGGGTTGAATCCAGGGAATCTGCATCTAGTGGTAACCTAGACTTTTAGAGAGAGAGATATAGCACCGTTTGCATCATTTCCTGCGACACCACAAGGCGAGGTGTTTTGAATTTATTAACCTGGGCTGGATTGCTTTTTCTGTAATTCAAGTTGCAAATTGCTGACATGTTGGCGCCAGCTCATGAAAGACAGACCTTCAAGACAGGCTGGCTGCGTTCCTATCTCAAAGTCTGCATTTCGGAGCCTTATAAATCTGTTGCATCATCATAATAATAATAATAATAATAATAATAATAATAATAATAATAATAATAACAACAACGCTCAAGGCAGGGCATAACATGGTTAAAACACATCACCAAAAATATATGCAATAAAATGCACACACATTACTATAAAATACTAATGTAACAATGCTTGTCCTATTATTATTATTAATAATTCCTATTATTATTATTATTATTATTATTATTATTATTATTATTATTATTTCTAAGGCTCAAAAGAGGGCACAGCATACTTAAAACACATCACCAAAACATATGTAATAAAATGCACACACATTACTATAAAATATTTTTGTAACAATGCATGCCTGTCCTGTTATTATTATTATTATTATTATTTCCTATTATTATTATTATTATTATTATTATTATTATTATTATTATTATTTTCTAAGGCTCAAGAGAGGGCACAGCATACTTAAAACACATCACCAAAACATATGTAATAAAATGCATACACATTACTATAAAAAACATAATAATGCATGCCTGCCCTAATATTATTATTAATAATTCCTATTATTATTATTATTATTATTATTATTATTATTATTATTATTATTATTATTACTTCTAAGGTTCAAGAGAGGTCACAACATACTTAAAACACATCACCAAAACATATGCAATAAAATGCATACACATTACTATAAAATATTTATGTAACAATGCATGTCTGTCCTATTATCATTATTAATAATTCCTATTATTATTATTATTATTATTATTATTATTATTATTATTACTTCTAAGGCTCAAGAGAGGGCAAAGCATACATAAAACACATCACCAAAAGATATGTAATAAAATGCATATTTATGCATAAAATACATAAATAACAATGCATGCCCGCCCTATTAATAATAGTAATAATTCCTGCTTTTATTATTATTACTTCTAAGGTTCAAGAGAGGGCAAAGCATACTTAAAACACATCACCAAAACATATGTAATAAAATGCATACACATTACTATAAAATACATAATAATGCATGCCTGCCCTAATATTATTAATAATAATTCCTATTATTATTACTATTATTATTATTACTTCTAAGGCTCAAGAGAAGGCAAGGCATACTTAAAACGCATCACCAAAACATATGTAATAAAATGCATACACTACTATAAAATACATATATAACAATGCATGCCCGCCCTATTATTATTAATAATAATAATTCCTGCTTTTATTATTATTGTTGTTACTTCTAAGGCTCAAGAGAGGGCAAAGCATACTTAAAACACATCACCATATGTAATAAAATGTATGTAATAAAATGCATACACACTACTATAAAATACATATATTACAATGCATATCCATATTATTATTATTATTATTATTATTATTATTATTATTATTATTATTCTAAGGGTTAAAGCAGGGCACAACTTAGTGAAAAAAAACCCATAATAAATACATACAATAAAATGCATATATTAAAATACGTTACTATAAAATGCATATATTACAATGCATGCCCGCCCTATTATTATTAGTAATAATAATTCCTATTATTATTATTACTTCTATGCCTTAAGATAAGGCAAAGCATACTTAAAACACATCACCAAAACATGTAATAAAATGCATACACATTATTATAAAATACATATATTACAATGCATATCCATTCTATTATTATTAATAATATTTCTAAGGCTTAAAGCAGAGCACAACTTAGTGAAAAAAAAACACAGTAAATACATACAATAAAAATGCATATATTAAAATACGTTACTATAAAATGCATATATTACAATGCATGCCCACCCTATTATTATTAGTAATAATAATTCCTATTATTATTATTCTTATTACTTCTAAGGCTCAAGAGAAGGCAAAGCATACTTAACACATCATCAAAACATGTAATAAAATGCATACACACTACTATAAAATACATATATTACAATGCATATCCATCCTATTATTATTATTATTATTATTATTATTTATAAGGCTTAAAGCAGGGCACAACTTAATGGAAAAAATACTTAAAATAAAATGCGTATATTAAAATACATTAGTATAAAATGCATATATTATAATGCATGCACACTATTATTATTATTATTATTATTATTATTATTACAGTGTTCCCTAACTTATTGCAGGGGTTACGTTCCAGAACCTCCCGCAATAAGTGAAAAACTGCGATGTAGGGACGCTATATTTATTTTAATATTTATACATTATTTTAGTAGTTATACACTATTTTAAGTCTTTATAAACTTAAAATAAAGGGAAGGGAAGGAAGGAAAGGCCCTTCAAGGCTGGAGGGAAGGAGGGAAGACTGAGGAGGGAAAGCGCCCCGGAGAGTGGCGGCGGCGGCAAAAACCCGCGAAACACCGAAAATGCCACAATATATATTTTAAATTAATATTTTTTTAAAAACACAAAACAGCAAGTCTGCTAAAAGCGAACCGCAAAGTAGCGAGGGAACACTGTACTATGAAATTATTATTATTATTATTATTATTATTATTATTATTATTATTATTAAGGTGGGCGTGCATTGTAATATATTACAATGCATGCCCACCTTAATAATAATAATAATAATAATAATAATAATAATAATTCCTATTATTATTATTTCTAAGGTTCAAGGCAGGGCACAACTTTGCTTAAACACATCAACAAAAACATGCAATAAAATCCATACACATTACTATAAAATCCATATATTGTAATGCATGCCCATCTTATTAGTATTATTAGTAATAATAATGTTAGCCTGCTTTCATCTCTCTGTGATGGAGATGCCACACTTATGAACAGCCCTGGCCTTGCAGGTTCAGGTCTTGAAAAGGAAGCGAAGGGAGAAAACGGACTACAGGGTTGCAACAAATGTTCGTTCTTTTTTGCTTTCCAGATAAACTGTTCTATATTTACACTTCGGGCACGACGGGTCTGCCTAAGGCTGCCATCATCGTCCATTCGAGGTCAGTGAAATGGGGCTTTGTGTGAATCTAAATCAGGCCTGGGCCAACTCCATGTGTTTTGGACTCCCATAACGTGGGTATGCAGATGATCCCTTGATTGATTGAAGCGTCCAGTTCCAAGAGGACAAACTTTGGGGCTGGCTATTGGGAATTGTGGGAGTTGGAGTCCAAAACACCTGGAGCAGTGGTTCTCAACCTTCCTCATGCCGTGACCCCTTAATACAGTTCCTCATGTTGTGGTGACCCCCAACCATAATGTTATTTTCATGATGCAAATATCTGATTTGCTAAATGTATTTTCATTCACTGGACCAAATATGGCACAAATACCCGATGTGCCCAAATTTGAATACTGGTGGGGTTYGGGTGGGATTGATTTTGTCATTTGGGAGTTGTAGTTGCTGGGATTTATAGTTCACTACAATCAAGGAACATTCCGAACTCCACCAAGGATGGTATTGAACCAAACTTGGCACACAGAACTCCCATGACCAAGAGAAAATACTGGAAGGATTTGGTGGACATTGACCTTGAGTTTTGGAGTTGTAGTTCACCTACATCCAGAGAGCACTGTGGACTCAAACAATAATGGATCTGGACCTAACTTGGCACAAATGCTCAATATGCTGAAATGTGAACAATGGAGGAGTTTGGGGGAAATAGACATTACCATCTGGGAGTTATGTTGCTGGGATGTATAGTTCACCTAGAGTCAAAGAGCATCTTGAACCCAACCAACAATAGAATTGGGCCAAATTTCCCACACAGAAACCCCATGACCAACAGAAAACACTGTGTTTTCCGATGGCCTTTGGTGACCCCTCTGACACCCCCTCGCGACCCCCCCAGGGGTCCCGACCCCCAGGTTGAGAAACACTGACCTGGAGGGAGGGCCGAAGTTGGTCCAGGCCTGACTTCCCTCGATCTATACAGTGTTCCCTCACTTACTGCTGGGATTACGTTCCAGGATAAGTGAAAAACCGCGATGTAGGGATGCTATATTTATTTTAATATTTATACACTAGCCATCCCCTACCACACATTGCTGTGGCCCAGTCTGCTGATCTGGAAAATAAAGTAATGTGAAAGTGTTGGATTCTAATATATGTAATGTCTTGATGCTTGTGGGTAAACAGTATTTCTTGTTATTTCTTTGTCAGTGTTGATGTGGAGATTGTCTGGTTTGCCTACTCTGGAACATGCAACATATCATTGTCCTTCTTTAGGGGTCCCTTTCAAATCTATGATACTATATCTCATACACTATATCTATATTTATGACTGGATGGCTCTTTGTCAGGAGGGCTTTGATTACATTTTCTTGCCCTGGTGAAGAAAGTTGGACTGAATGGCCTTAAGTATTTTCTGTTGGTTATGGGGGTTCTGCGTGGGAAGTTTGTCCCGATTCTGTCATTGGTGGGATTCAGAATGCCTTTTGATTGTAGGTGAACTATAAATCCCAGTAACTACAACTCCCAAATGTCAAGGTCTTTTTGCCCCAAATTCCATCTGTGTTCATATTTGGACATATGGAATATTTGTGCCAAGTTTGGTCAAGATCCATCATTTTTGAGTCCACAATGCTCTCTGGATGTAGGTGAACTACAACTCCCAAACTCAAGGTCAATGCCCACCAAACCCTTCTGGTGTTTTCTGTTGGTCATGGGAGTCCTGTATGGTACGTTTGGTTCAATTCCATCATTGGTGGAATTCAGAATGCTCTTTGATTGTAGGAGAACTATAAATCCCAGTAACCTATAACTCCCAGATGTCAAGGTCTAGTTCCCCCAAACTCTGTCTGTGTTCTTATTTGGGCATATGGAATATTTGTGCCAAGTTTGGTCCAGATCCATCATTGTTTGAGTCCACAGTGCTCTTTGGATGTAGGTGAACTATGACTCCCAAACACAAGGTTAATACCCACCAAACTTTTCTAGTGTTTTCTGTTGGTCATGGGAGTCCTGTGTGCCACGTTTGGTTCAATTCCATCATTGGTGGAGTTCAGAATGCTCTTTGATTGTAGGAGAACTATAAATCCCCGTAACTTACAACTCCCAAATGTGAAGATCTATTTCCCCCCAAACTCCACCAGTGCTCTCATTTGGGCATATTGAGTATTTGTGCCATGTTTAGTCCAGATCCATCATTGTTTGAGTCAACAGTGATCTCTTTATGTAGGTGAACTACAAATCCCAAACTCAAGGTTAATGCCCATCAATGCCCATGTGGGTCATGGGAGTCCTGTGTGCCATGATTGGTTCAATTCCACCATTGGTGGAGTTCAGAATGCTCTTTGATTGTAGGTGAACTATAAATCCCAGCAACTACAACTCCCAAATGACAAAATCAAATTTTTTTGAGTGAAGGACATACATTGGGTTGTTAGGTGTATACTGTCTTGCTGCTGCCGCATCACACTCTTGGCTCCTCTTTGTATTGTGCAATCCGTTTGGCGTGCTAAGTGTGCAATGACACAAAGCAAATGCCTTATGCAAAGTACATTTCTCCCTCCCTGGTCTTAAGCAATGCTCTCCTGCCCGCAGGTATTACCGCATGGCGTCGTTGGTGTACAATGGATTCCGGATGAGATCGGACGACGTGGTTTACAATTGCCTCCCCTTGTATCACTCCGCAGGTACTCCATGCCTCACCAAACTACAATTCCCAGAATAGCATAGCATTGTGTGATGACAATTACATTAGAGGTGAGGTTGCTCAAAGAGGAGCTCCTGCAGCAGCTTCCCCTTTTCCATTGGTTCAGCATTGAGATTACCGTATTACAGGAATTGTAATGCACACACTAATTTTGGCCAGGTAATTTAGCCAGAAAAGGCGAGCATTAGATTAGAGTCAACAGGGCAATACAGAAGAACAAGGGGTGGGCATTGCCATGTTCAGACTCCCTGTTGGAGCCCTGTTGTTGTTGTTTGTCTTTGTTTTTCCAGGTAACATTGTGGGCGTGGGGCAGTGCCTCCTCCACGGGCTGACGGTGGTGGTGCGGAAGAAGTTCTCTGCTTCTGGCTTCTGGGACGACTGCGTCAAGTACAACTGTACGGTGAGCCAGCGGGAGACACAACGCAAGGAGCGGGATTCTCTTTTTCGTATTTTAAAATGAATTTTATTAATATATTATTATTATTATATTTATTTATAACCCACTTTATCTCTCCTTTCTCTTTCCTTTCCTTTCTTTTCCCCCTTACTTCCTTCCCTCCTTTTTCTTTCTTCTTCCCTTCTCCTTTTTCTTTCCCTTCTTTTTTCTCCTTCATTCCTTCCCTCCCTCTTTCTTTTTTTCTTTCTTTCTGCCTCTCTCCCTCCCTCCTTCTCCTTTATTTACTTTTTCTCCGCTTTCTCCCTCCTTCCTTCCCTCCCTCCTTTTTCTTTCTTTCATCTTCCTTCTCTTTTCTTTCCCTTCTTTTTCCCCTTCCTTCGTTCCTTCTCTCCCTCCTTCCTTTTTCTTTCTTTCTTCCTCCTTCTCCTTTCTTTTCTTTCCCTTCTTTTTCTCCTTCCTTCCTTCCTTCCCTCCCTCCCTCCCTCTCCTTTCTTTTCTTTCCCTTCTTCTTCCACTTCCTTCCTTCCCTCCTTTTACTTTTTTTCTTCCTCCTCCTTTCTTTTCTTTCCTCTTTTTCCCTTCCTCCTTTCTTCCTTCCTCCTTCTCCTTTTCCTCCCTCCCCTTCCCTTCCTTCCTTCTCCTTTCTTTTCTTTCCCTTCTTTTTCCCCTTCCTTCCTTCCTTCCCTCCTTTTTCTTTCTTCCTTCCTCCTTCTCCTTTCTCTTCTTTTCCTTCTTTTTCCCCTTCCTTCCTTTCTTCTTTCCATACCTCCCTCCCCTCCTTTTCCTTCCTTTCTTTCTCTTTTCTTCCCTTCTTTCCCTTCCTTCCTTCCCTCCTTTTCTTCTTTTCTCCTCCTTTCTTTTCTTTCCCTTCTTTTTCCCCTTCCTTCCTCTTCCTTCCCTCCTCTCCCTCCTTTCCCCTCCCCTTCCTTCTTTCTCCTTTCTTCTTTCCTCTTTCCCTTCCTTCCTTCCTTCCTTCCATTCCCTCCCTCCTTCCTCTTCTCTTTTCTTCCATGCCTTCCTTCCCTCCTCCCTCCCTCCTTTCTTTCTTTCCTCCTCCTTTTTTTCTTCCCTTCTTTTCCCCTTCCATTCCCTCTTCCTCCTCCTCCCTCTCCTTCTTTTCTTTCCCTTCTTCTTCCACTTCCTTCCTTCCCTCCTTTTACTTTTTTTCTTCCTCCCCTTTCTTTTCTTTCCTTCTTTTCTTCTTCCTTTCTTCCTTCCTCCCTCCTTTTTCCCTCCTCCTCCCTTCTTTCCTTTTTCTTTTCCTTTCCCCTTCCTTCCTCCTCCTTTGTCTTCTTCTTCCTCTTCCTTTCTCTTTCTTTCTTTCTTTTCCTTCCTTTTTCCTCTCTCCCTCTTTTCTTCCTTCCTTTCTTTCTTCTTTCTTCTTTTTCCCCTTCCTTCCTCCTTTTTTTCTTCTTCTCTCCTTCTTTTCTTTCCTCTTTTTCCCCTTCCTTCTCCTTCTTCCTCCTTCCTCCCCTCCTTTTTCCTTCCTTCTCTCCTTCTTCCTTCTCCTTCCCTTCTCCTCTTTTCTTCCTTCTTTCCCCTTCCTTCTTCCTTTCCTTCCTCCTCTTCTTCCCCCTCTCCTCCTCTTTTTCTTCTTTCTTCTTCTCTTCTTTCCCTTCTTCCCTTCTCCTTCTTCCTCCTCCCTCCTCCTCCCTCTCTTTTTTCTTCCTTTTCTTCCTTCTTCCTCCTCTTTTTTTGCTTCTTCCTCCCTTCTTTTCCTTCCCTTCTTTTTCCCTTCTTTTCTTCCTCCCTCTTTTCTCCTCCTCCCTCCCCTCATTTTCCTTCCTTCCTTCTCCTTTCTTTTCTTTCCCTTCTTTTCCCCTTCCTTCCTTCCCTCCTTTTTCTTTCTTCCTTCCTCCTTCTCTTTCTCTTTTCCTTCTTTTTCCCCTTCCTTCCTTTTCTTTCCACACTCTCCCTCCTTTCCTTCCTATTTCTCTTTTCTTTTCTTTCCTTCTTTTCCCCTTCCTTCCTTCCCTCTTTTTACTTTCTTCTGTCCTCTCCTTCCTTTCTCCCTTTTTTCCCTTCCTCCTTTTTTTCTTCTCTTTCCTTCTTTCTCCTTTCTTTCTTTCCCTTCTTTTCCCTTTCCTTCCTCCTTTTTTCTTTCTTCCTCTTCTCTTTCCTTCTTTTCCTTCTTTCCCCTTTCCTTCCTTCCCTCCTTTTCTTCTCCCTTCCTCTTTCTTCCTCCCTTCTTTTCCCTTCCTTCCTTCCCTCCTTTTCTTTCCCTTCCTCTATTCTTCCTTCCTTCTTTTCCCTTCCCTCCCTCCCTCCTTTTCTTTCCCTTCCTCTTTCTTTACTTCCTTCGTTCTTTTCCCTTTCTTCCTTCCCCCCTTTTCCTTCTTCTCCTTTTTCTTCCCTTCTTTTTCCCCTTCCTTCCTTCCTTACTTTTTCTTTCTTTCTTCCTTCCTTCCTTCTCCCTTTCAGGAAGAATAAAGCGGGATAGAAATAAATAGCCTGCCGGTTGTTAGGAATTGTGAGAGTTGGCATCCAAAACACCTGGAGGCGGGCCCAAGTTTTCCCCATGCCTGGTGTAGATGCTCCCACAGAGAGTATTTCTGAGGCCATTTCCTCCTCCTTCCTGGACTTATCCCTCTTTTCCTTCTCTTTCTCTTCCAGGTTGTGCAGTACATTGGGGAGATCTGTCGGTATCTCTTGAACCAGCCGGTGCAGGAAGTGGAGCGGAGGCACCGGGTGCGGATGGCGCTGGGCAACGGCTTGCGGGCCACCATTTGGAAGGAATTCACCCAGCGCTTTGGCATCCCCCAGATTGCCGAGTTTTACGGCGCCACCGAGTGCAACTGCAGCATGGGCAACTTCGACAACAAGGTGAGGCTGCTTTTGGAGAAAGACAAGGCAGGTGCTCACTCAAGCCTGGAAAAAGTCTTTGGGGTGATTGGGGAGGAGTTGTGGCCATGTTGGCCTGCAGGTTCTAGGAGTTGTAGTCCCCAAAAAGTAACTTTCCAAAAAAGATCTGATATCAGGCATGTCCAAAGTCCAGCTAAACTTTGGGAAGAACTTTCTGATGGTAGGAGATGTTCAATAGAAGAATATGTTGCTTCAGAGCAGGATGGAGTCACGTTCCCTGTAGGCTGTTAAGCATAGGCTGGATGGCCATCTGTCAGGAGGGTTTAAATGGTGTTTTTCTGCAAATAAGAATAAGGACTGAATGGCCCTTGGGGTCTCTTCCAACTTGAGGAGGAGGATGATGATAATATAATATATTAAGTTTATCTTCCTTCCTGGCTGAAGAGGGGTTGGACTGGTGGTCTTGTATGGCCATCTGTTGGGAGGGTTTAGATTGTGTCTTCCTGCATATAAGAATGGGGTTGGACTGGATGACCCTCGGGGGTCTCTTCCAACTCTAGGATTCTATCAACACAGTCTTTGATAATAATGGTGGTGGTCATGTATGGCCATCTGTCGGGAGGGTTTAGATTGTGTGTTCCTCCATATAAGAATGGGGTTGGACTGGATGGCCTTTGGGGGTCTCTTCCAACTCTAGGATTCTATCAACACAGTCTTTGATAATAATGGTGGTGGTCAAAAGGACGTTGTGCTCATTCCTTGCCCTTTTTCTCTGCCCCAGTTCGGAGCCTGTGGCTTCAACAGCAGGATCCTTCCCTTCGTTTACCCCATCAACCTGGTCCGGGTCAATGAGGACACCATGGAGCTGATCCGGGGACCTGATGGGCTTTGCATTCAGTGCAAACCAGGTGAGCTTTGGTGGCATCTCAGTGGGACATTAGATGCAAAAACCTGGAAAATTATCTATCAATACAGTTTGTTGACAACTAGCTGCAATGCTACGGAATCATGGGAGGCGTTGTCTTGCAAGGTTTTAGCCTTCTCTGCCATAGAGTGCTGGTGCGCCACCAAACTACAACTCCCATGATTCCATAGCCTGTTATTTATTTATTACTATTAATAATAATATTGTTAATAACATTAGCTAGCAGGCACAACGGCACTTTGGACATTGAATTGGACCATATGATTATAGTTATGATAATGGAAACAGATATGATTGTATAATTAATATTATTGTTGTAATCTATTGTGTTTTTATAGTTTTATATTATAGTTATATTATGATATTGCGGCATCAAATTGTTGCCAGTGTTAGCCACTCTGAGTCTCCCCTCAGGGGTTGAGAAGGGTGGGGTAAAAATGTTGTAAATAACTAAATAAAGAAAGAAATATTATTTATCTATATTATTATTACTATAAATAATAACAATATTGTTAATATTATATTATTGCTATTAATAATAATAATATTTATCTATATTATTACTATTAATAATAAACATATTGTTAATACTATATTACTATTATTAACAGTAATAATGTTATTTATCTGTATTATTATTTCTATTAATAGTAACAATATTAGGGAGCCCCCGGTGGCGCAGTGGGTTAAAGCACTGAGCTGCTGAGCTTGTTGATCGAAAAGGTCGCAGGTTCGATTCCGGGGAGCGGCGTGAGCTTCCCCTGTCAGCCCTAGCTTCTGCCAACCTAGCAGTTCGAAAACATGCAAATGTGAGTAGATCAATAGGTACCGCTCCGGCGGGAAGGTAACGGCGCTCCATGCAGACGTGCCAGCCACATGATCTTGGAGGTGTCTACGGACAACGCTGGCTCTTCGGCTTAGAAATGGAGATGAGCACCACACCCCAGAGTCAGACATGACTGGACTTAATGTCAGGGGACTACCTTTACCTTTTTTTAAATAACAATATTGTTAATATTATATTATTACTATCAATAATAATATTGTTAATATTTATCTATATTATTATTACTATTAATATAACAATGTTGTTAATATTATATTATTACTATCAATATTGTTAATAATATTAATAATATTTATATATAATAAATAATATATTATTATCATATAGTAATAATAATAGTAATAATAGCGATGATGATGATGATAATAATAGTAATAATAATAATATAGATAAATGAACCAACACCACAAACAACAATACAAGGGACCTCTTTTTCTCTCTTGCAGGAGAACCCGGTCAGCTGGTCGGCCGCATCAAGCAAACCAATCCGCTGCAGCGCTTTGACGGCTACTTGAACCGCGAGGCCAACTCTAAAAAGATAGCCCAAAATGTCTTCACCAAAGGCGACTCTGCCTACCTCACAGGTATGAGTTTCTTTCCTTAACAGTGTTTCTCCGTTCTAAAGACCCTTCGCGAGATAGGAAACTCTCTGTGTGTCGTAACACGAATGCTACGGAAGACAAATAGGTTTCTCACTTGTATAAAACTGAACAACAGTCATTTCTGTTTCCTCCTTAAACAATGTAGTGTGTTGTGTGAACCTAACAGGAAACCTCTGCGTGTATGTGAACCTTTTTTTAGGCATACAGTGTTCCCTCGCTACTTCGCGGTTCGCTTTTCACGGACTCATTGCTTCGCGGTTTTTCAATAAACATTAATGTAAAATATATATCTTGGTATTTTCACTGTTTCGCGGGTTTTTGCGGTATTGTTCTGCATTTACGTAGTACGTATTGTACAGTAATGTATATATTTACGATTTATAGTAAATAGCATATTTATTCACCAAAAACGAAAGTAGGACTTGCTCACCGGCCACTTGAGATGCTACTTTCCGACATGAGATTGTAAATATATATACATACAGCGTCCCTACTTGCCGATGTGAGATTGTGAATACATATATATTTATATAGCATCCCTTGTCGGGACACAGACACCTTAAAGGGCCAGACTCGGAGTTAGTTCTCAAAACAGGGTTTATTAAACGAAGGAAAAGGACACAGATACTTAGCTGCAGTGCCTCTGGTCAAAACTTAAAGCATTAACCAGTCCTGGTTCAAAAATAATCAACAGAAGTAAAACCCGGATTATCCGGACAAAGAACAGGAAGCGCTGAGGCCAAAACAAAAAGTTTAACAAACAGTTAACAAAGCAGTGAAGCCGAAAAGCAGGAAGCGTAGTCAGCTGGAGTCCGAGGTCACAGCAGCAACAATCCGAATTATCGTCGTTCCGATATCCACAAAAGCAGTGTCGTCGTCAAGTCAGTCCAAAGTCAAGAAGGGGGGAAATTCACACTCACAAGAAGTCAGTTCAAGTCACGATCAGGAACTCCAACCTGCAGATCCCGGACCCAATTCCAAACATGAACAGGCAGCGGCAAGTCCCATACAATACCCAAGATTACGAACATACACCCAACACCTTGCCTTCTGCAAAGATTCCCCATTTCAGAGCCTACTTTTATCTTACACATCATCATCAGAAGATGAGCTGACCCCCACCCCATCATTATCCTTTGCAGCTGTTCTTGATTCTACATGTGAACTCCTACTCCCATCTCTCCACCTTCTCCATCTTCTGTCAAGACTTAGATCCCCCCCAAGACACAGATGTATTCCCCGACTACCAGTCCTCATTACCAGAGAACCCTACAAATGTATCACTGGGAGTTGGCTCCGCACATACAGCTTGTACCTCTTTCACCTTAGTCCAGTCCAATGTGTCATCCCCGTCTTCGTCACTCCTTAACCCATCATTCCAAGAGAAACCCACGAATTATTCCTCATCTGTAGGAGCAGTAAGTATATCCCGGATCTTCTTCCTCTGTTGCTCCTCATCAGACTCCTGCTCCCGAGTAGCCCTTTTCCTTCCCTTAGACCAATCCATGATGTTTCCTTCCTCCTCTTCACTTGTTGACCCATCATCCCCAGAGAAACCCTTGAATGACTCCTCATCTGACGGTGCCATAAGTATGTCGCGGATCCTTTTCCTCTGCTGCTCATCATCATCAGATTCCTGGAGACCTCGGTGGGGCAGTGGGTTAAACCTGTGCCGGCAGGACTGAAGACCGACAGGTCACAGGTTCGAATCCGGGGAGAGGCGGATGAGCTCCCTCTATCAGCTCCAGCTCTTCATGCGGGGACATGAGAGAAGCCTCCCACAAGGATGATAAAAACATCAAATCATCCAGGTGTCCCCTGGGCAACGTCCTTGCAGACGGCCAGTTCTCTCACACCAGGAGCAACTTGCAGTCACTCCTGACACGACCAAAAAAAAAAATCAGATTCCTGCTCCCGAGTAACTCTCTTTCCCCTTCTAGTGCCCAAACTACTGTTAGCATCGTTACTTGCAGGCTCTACTACAACATCCCTACTTTGCGGATTTTCACTTTTCGCAGGTGGTCCTGGAACATAACACCTGCAATAAGCAAGGGAACACTGTATATATTGTAACTACACAACTGCAGAATTATACAACTTCACACTATCTACTCCTGCAGTATTAAAAACATCAGACTCAAGACAGTAAATAAAGAACACCACTCAGCAATAGGGGAATTCCAGATCGCAAAATCCCTTACTTATTGCTGGTGTTCCAGGACCACCCGTGAAAAGTGAAAATCTGCCAAGTAGGGACGCTATATTTAGTTAATATTTATACATTACTAGCCATCCCCTGCCATGCGTTGCTGGGCCCAGTCTGTGTATATGTGTTTTGTGTGTATATATATGTGGTTTTGCGCATGCTTTCTAATTTATTTTTATTTTTTGGCTTTTAAAGTCTCTTTCATTGTGTTTTTCAGTGTTTTTATGAGTGATGGTCACTTGTTGGCCTGATATGTGTATTGTGTCCAGATTTGGTGCTAATTCGTCCAGTCGTTTTTGAGTTATGTTAATCCCACAAACGAACATTACATTTTTATTTATATAGATTTTAGTAGTTATACACTATTTTAAGTCTTTATAAGCCCTCTCTACATACTTATACACTACATAACCTTCCTTGAACGTGTTGTTCACGTAATCCTCGGCTCCGACTTTATCCACACAGGTAGTCTCTCCATACAGATAAACACTCTTAAGTCCATATTGAAAAACAGCGAACCAGCGAGTCCGCGAAAAGTGAACCGCGAAGCAGCGAGGGACCACAGCCGTGAAAGCCTTCAACAAGAGATTGATAGGTTCTTTGTAATCTTATTTCCTTCAGGGGACGTGCTGGTCATGGATGAGTTGGGCTACATGTATTTCCGAGACCGAACGGGAGACACTTTCCGCTGGAAAGGCGAAAACGTTTCCACAACGGAAGTGGAAGGAACGCTCAGTCGCCTCCTCAGCATGACGGATGTTGCCGTCTATGGGGTGGAAGTTCCAGGTAACGGACCTGCAGTCGTCTCACTTATGTAATAATGAAAATATTGATAACCCATCCTCTTCTCAGCAGAATCTCAGCGCAAGTAGGAGTCGCTCAAGTAGGAGCTGGGGGTGTTTAGCTTGGAGGAGAGGTTTAGCTGTGAGGAAGGGATCGAAGAATATTTTTTTCAGATATTTGTACCCTGCCCTTATCAACCCCTGGGGGTGAACTCAGGGCGGCTATCTATCCTTCTATCTATCTATCTGTCTATCTGTCTATCAGTCTATCAGTCTATCTATCCATCCCTCCATCTATTTATTTATTTATCTATCCATCCATCTATCCATCATTCCTTCCATCCATCCACCCTTCCATCCATCCATCCATCCATCCTTCTATCCATCCATGCATCCATCGATCCATTCTTCCTTCCATCCATCCATCCTTCCATTCACCCTTCCTTCCATCCATCCATCCATCCATCCATCCTTCCTTCCTTCCTTCCATCCACCCACCCATCCATCAATCCACCCACCCACCCACCCACCCTTCCTTCCTTCCTTCCTTCCTTCCTTCCTTCCTATCCCTCCATCTATCCATCTCCATCCTTCATCCATCCATCCATTCCATCCATCCATCCATCCATCCCATCCATCCATCCTTCATCCATCCATCCATCCATCCATCCATCCATCTCCATCCATCCCACTCTCCCATCCCATCCTCATCCTCCATCCATCCATCCCTCAATCCATCCATCCATCCTTCCTTCCTCCTTCCATCCATCCATCTCCTTCCTTCCATCCATCCATCCATCCATCCATCCATCCATCCTTCCTTTCCTTCCCTTCCTTCCATCCATCCACTCCTTCCCTTCCATCCATTCCATCCTTTCCTTCCTCCTTCCTTCCTTCCTTCCTTCCTTCCTTCCTTCCTTCCTGCCTTCCTGCCTGCCTGCCTGCCTTCCTTCCTTCCAGTCAAAGCAGCCCTGACAGATGGCCATCCAGCCTTTGTATAACAGTAATAATAATAATAATAATAATAATAGTAATAGTAATAGTAATAGTAATAGTAATAGTAGTAATACAGCCATAGTATTCTAGATTTGAAAGAGACCACATGGGCCATCTAATCTAACTCCCTGCCATGCAGGAAAAGCACAGTCAAAGCAGCCCTGACAGATGACCATCCAGCCTCTGAATAATAATAACAACAACAACAACAATAATAGTAGTAGTAGTAGTGGTAATACAACCATAGTACCCTAGAGTTGGAAGAGACCACATGGGCCATCTAGTCCAATATTAGGGCTTTTAACAGGTTAGAGAGCTAGGCCAAAACAAACACAATTAATTTCAACAGGGAGAAATGTACAGATCTAGGAGTCTTTGTAGGCCATGAGATGAACATGAGCCAACAGTGTGACGCTGCAGCTACAAAGGCCAACACGATTCTAGGCTGCATCAGGAGGAGGATAGGGTCAAGATGGAGTGATGTCATAGGCTGGATCTACACTACCCTAGATCCCAGGATCAGATCTCAAGAGTCAGACTGATACGGTAGAGAGGTTTCTGTGGACAGGAAGCAAGAACCAAACTGTGCGAATGTGTGTTGCAGGCACTGAAGGGAAGGCCGGAATGGCAGCCATTGTTGATCCAGATAACTCCTGCGACCTGGAGCGTTTTGCGGAGGACATGAAGAAGGCCCTTCCTGCGTATGCACGGCCCATTTTCCTGCGGCTGGTCTCGGAATTGAACAAAACAAGTGAGTCCTTTTACCATGCCCTTTCGTCCAGATTTCGTCCAGAGGGGGCCCATCTAATATCCTCAGGAAGGGAGTTCCACAGCTGAGGGGCCACCACAGAGAAGGCCCTGTCTCTCATCCCCACCAAGCGTGCCTGTGAGGCAGGCAGGATCAAGAGCAGGGCCTCCCCAGATTATCTTAAATTCCTGTAAGGTTTGTAAGGGGAGAGACAATCGGATAGGTAAGTTGGGCCGGAACCGTTTAGGGTTTTATAGGCTAAAGCCAGCACTTTGAATTGTGCCTGGGAGCCAGTGGAGCTGGAGCAACAGTGGAGTCGTATGCTCCCTGAGCGCTGCTCCCGCTGTACCATTTGAAGCTTCCGAACAGTTTTCAAAGGCAACCCCACATAGAGCGCGTTGTAGTAGTCTATACGGGGTGTAACCAGAGCGTGGACTACCATGGCCAATTAGACTTCCCAAGATATGGGTGCAGCCATCCATCCATCCTTCGATCCATCCATCTATTTATCTATCCAGCCAGCCAGTCAGCCAGCCAACCTTTCATCTATCTATCTATCATCTATCTATCTATCTATCTATCTATCTATCTATCTATCTATCTATCTATCTATCTATTCATCCATCCATCCATCCATCCATCCATTCCTCCATCCATCCATCCATCCATCCATCCATCTTTCTATCTACCCATCCAGCCATCTATCTATGTAACCGTCTATTCCTCAACCCTTCCTTCCTTCCATCCGTCTATCCAACCATCCATCTGTTTATCTATCCATCCAGCTATCCTTCCATCTATCTGTCTGTCTATCTATCTATCCCTCCATCTATCTATCTATCCATCCATCCATTCTTCCATCTATCCGTCCGTCCGTCCGTCCGTCCGTCCGTCCGTCTGTCCATCCATCCATCCATCCATCCATCTATCTATCTATCTATCTATCTATCTATCTATCTATCCATCTATTTATCTATCCCTCCCTCCCTCCCTCCCTCTATCCATCCATCCATCCATCCATCCATCCATCCATCCATCCATCTTCCTATCTATCTATCTATCTATCTATCTATCTATCTATCTATCTATCTATCTATCCATCCATCTATTTATCTATCCATCCCTCTATCCATCCATCCATCTTCCAGCAGATTGATCGATCGATCGATCGATGGATGTATCTATCTATCTATCTATCTATCTATCTATCTATCTATCTATCTATCTATCTACCTTCTTGTAGATCTATCTATCTATCTATCTATCTATCTATCTATCTATCTATCCATCCATCCATCCATCCATCCATCCACAGTCAAAGCAGCCCCGACAGATGGCCATCCAGCCTTTGTATAATAGTAATAATGATAATTCAGCCATAGTATCCTAGAGTTGGAAGAGACCACCTGGGCCATCTAGTCCAACCCCCTTCCCATGCAGGAAAAGCACAGTCAAAGCAGCCCCAACAGATGGCTATCTTAACCTCTGTTCAAAAGCCTCCAAAGGAGCTTCCAGGAGATTCTGAGGCAGAGAGTTCCACTGTTGAACAGCTTAGGAAGTTCTTCCTAAAATTCAGGTGGGATCTCCTTGCCCGTTGTTTGAATCCATGGTTCCAGGATAGCAGAAAGGAAGGCATCTCTCTCTTCCTTTCGATATTTCAGCATGGCTCTCATCAGAGTCTGGATGGCCATCTGCCGGGAATGCTTTGATTGTGCTTTTCCTGCATGGCGGAATGGGGCTGGACTAGATAGAATCATAGAATCAAAGAGTTGGAAAAGACCTCATGGGCCATCCAGTCCAACCCCCTGCCAAGAAGCAGGAATATTGCATTCAAATCACCCCTGACAGATGGCCATCCAGCCTCTGCTTAAAAGCTTCCAAAGAAGGAGCCTCCACCACACTCCGGGGCAGAGAGTTCCACTGCTGAACGGCTCTCACAGTTAGAAAGTTCTTCCTCATGTTCAGACGGAATCTCCTCTCTTGTAGTTTGAAGCCATTGTTCCGCGTCCTAGTCTCCAGGGAAGCAGATGGCCTTTGGGGGTCTCGTTCTAGGATTGTAGAGCAGGCATGGGCAAACTTGGATCCTCCAGGTGTTTTGGACTACAACTCCCTTCCCTCAATGTTCTCCTTCCCTCAACGTCTTCTCTTCCCTCAACGTTCTCAGGTCTTTAAGAGGGAGAAGGGGAAGGGAGCGTGGCACCCCTCACCAATCTTTCTTTTCCCTTCTTTCCTCAAATGCCAACCAGGCACCTTCAAGTTCCAGAAGATGGACCTGCGCAAGGAGGGCTACGACCCCAACGTGGTGAAGGACCAGCTGTATTTCCTGGAGCCGAGGCTGGGCCGGTACTTGCCTCTGGATCAGGAGGCCTACCAGCGGATCCAGTCCGGACAAGTCAAGTTGTAATCGGATGGACGGACGGATGGAGAGACCATTTTTGGAGACTGGGACCTCCTTCCTGGGCTTGCGATCAGAAGGAAGGAAAACCAAAACGATTGGGAGGCTGGACAGAAGACAACAGAATAAGGCGCCACTTTGGCTCCTTGTTTACATTGCAATTGGACCAAGGACCTACGCCTGGGGGTATCTTTTCTTCTTTTTCGGGATGGGACACACACACACACGTTTGCATACCAAAGCATAGAAAATACGTTGGCTTTGTTTTATACTCCATCATCGGAACTGCAATGGTGATATTTTGCCAAAATTGAAAGCTCTCTTCCCATCCGCCTAGTTCCCTGCACTGCTCTGTTTCATCTCTAGAGGGCGCCATGGTGCTTTCGGATAGGCATGGATTGCTTCTTTTCCGTTCTTCTCCATCGCAGGGAGAGAAAGTGGCAATGTTTTCTTTCCATTTTCTTTAAGGGGAAGCCTTCTATCCCCTGTTCTGGCTGCTAAAATCCTCTCCTTGGTTGTGTTGACCATATGGGGAGGGCTCGGAACAGATCTGCCAACAACTCTCGTGCTTTTTCTTCCGGGGACGCTCTTCTTTTCTACTTTCGTAACTGGACATTCCTTTCTATTTCTCTTTATTTTTTATTTTTTTGGTAATTTATTGCGAGGGTCTTTTTCTTAAGAGAACAAAAATATTTTGCCGCAAGCTGGTTAATTCCCTATACAGTGTTCCCTCACTTACCGCGGGTGTTACGTTTCAAGGCCACTCGCGAAAAGTGAAAATCCGCAAAAATCCGCTATATTTATTTTAATATTTAAACAATATTTTAGTAGTTATACACTATTTTAAGTCTTTATAAACCCTCCCCACACACTTATCCTTGAATGTGGCAGCCTCTCCATAGAGAAAAACACTCTTACGTCCATAGCACTTCTGAAATTTATCAAACCAGCCCTTTTCGGGAGTGAATTTGCCTGATTTGGTGGGAGAACCAGTCGACGCACGAGATTGTTGTTTTACCGAGTACCGCAAAAACCCGTGAAACAGCATAAATACCGCGATAAATATTTTACATTAACCGCAAAACAGCGAGTCTGCAAAAAGTGAAAAAATTGTGAAGTAGCAAGGGACCACAATAATAATAATAATTATTATTATTATTATTATTATTAACTTTATTTATATCCCGCTAACATCTCCCGAAGGACTCGGTGTGGCTTACAAAAGGCCAAGGCCCTCAATAACACAACAGCATAACAAATACAACAATAAAACTCATAATAATAATAATAATACAGGATGCTTGTTAGGGATTCCTCATCTTCGGAAGAGGAAGGGGAACAGGGAAGTGCTCAGGAATTGGAGTAAGAAGAAGAGTCAGACGAGGAGTGTTTGAAAGTGCCCACATTTCTAGAGAGAAGAGACAGAGCACAGATGGCGTTCAGCTGGTATACCTGCTAAAAACGCTGAACTAATTGGGAGACACCCTAGCACATTTTGTACATTTTCCTCTGGTGTCATCGATCAGAGCAGCAATTTAAGGGTATGTATTGCCCAATACTGGGTGGTCTGCCTTTTTTTTGTTTGGTTGTGTCAGGAGCGCCTTGAGAAATTGCAAGTCACTTCTGGTGTGAGAGAATTGGCCGTCTGCAAGGACGTTGCCCAGGGGATGCCCGGATGTTTTGATGTTTTATCAACCTTGTGGGAGGCTTCTCTCATGTCCCCGCATGATGAGCTGGATAGAGGGAGCTCATCCGCGCTCTCCCTGGATTCGAACCTGCGACCTGTCGGTCTTCAGTCCTGCCGGCACAGGGGTTTAACCCACTGTGCCACCAGGGGTTCCTGGTCTGCCATTGCCTGCTATAACCAGGCTTGTGCAACTGTCAATGGGTTAAAAGCCAATGGATGGACTTGGGAGGCCATGCACTCCATTGCGACCCCCATCTATCTATACTTCCATCTATCTATTTATTTATTTATCTATCTATCTATCCATCTATCCTTCCATCTTTCTATACTTCCATCTATCTATCTATCTATCCTTCCATCAATCAATCCATCCATCCTTCCATCTATCTATACTTCCATCTATCTATTTATCTATATCCATCCATCCATCTATCCTTCCATCCATCCATCCATCCATCCATCCATCTATCTATCTATCTATCTATCTATCTTCCTGTTGTCCTTCATTGCCTTTGAGAAGGGAATCCCGCCTCTTGGGAGTGTGAATGGCCTCACTTCGCATTGAGACAATCACCCGCCATTGGTTTTTATCACCCTGTGGCCTTCTAGGGATACAAAAGGGGAAGTACAGTGTTCCCTCACTTATTACGGGGGTTACGTTCCAGGACCACCCGCGAAAAGTGGAAATCTGCGAAGTAGGGACGCTATATTTATACATTATTTTAGTAGTTATACACTATTTTAAGTCTTTATAAACTTAAAATAAAGTGAAGGAAAGGAAGGAAAGGCCCTTCAAGGCTGGAGGGAGGGAAGACTGAGGAGGGAAAGCGCCTTGGAGAACGGTGGCGGCAGCAAAAACCCGTGAAAATGCAAAAATATCGCGATATATATATTATTTTATTTTTAATCCGCAAAACAGAGATTCCGCTAAAAGCAAACTTCAAAGTAGTGAGGGAACACTGTATTGCTGGGTCTTCTAAGGATGCAAAAAGGGAAGTATTGTTGTGTCTTCACTGCTACCTGATTCATGGATGATGCACATGTTTTTTTTTTCTTTTGGTGCAAATGACCCTGTCGTTTTCAGGTAGTTCTGCAGATGCAATGAAGGGCTGTGTTTGCAAGAGCAGTATGGTACAAACCGTTCCATATCTGCATATCCGCCGTTTCGAAACGTGTTTTCAAATAGAACAAAATGATATTCCCAGTCCCGCTAACACCCTCGTCCTCCGTTGACGGACATTCCCTTGAGTGTGCCGAGAGCCAAGATGGTCCACCTACATCCATGATGGATCTGGACCAAACTTGGCACAAATACTCAATATGCCCAAAGTGAACACTGGTGGAGTTTGAGGAAAATTGAGATTGGCATTTGGGAGTTATAGTTGCTGGGATTTATAGTTTACCTACAATCAAAGAGCATTCCGAACTCCACCAACTATGGAATTGAACCAAATTTGGCACACAGAACTCCCGCGACCCACAGAAAATACTGGAAGGGTTTGGTGGGCATTGACTTTGAGTTTTAGAGTTATATTTCACCTACATCTCGAGTGCAGTATGGACTCAAATAATGATGTATCTGGACCAAACTTGGCACAAATACCCAATATGCCCAAATGTGAACACTGGTGGAGTTAGGGGAAAATAGACCTTGACATTTGGGAGTTGTAATTGCTGGGATTTATAGTTTACCTACAATCAAAGAGCATTCTGAACTCCACCAACGATGGAATTGAACCAAATTTGGCACACAGAACTCCCATGACCAACAGAAAATACTGGAAGGTTTTGGTGGCAATTGACTTTGAGTTTTAGAGTTATAGTTCACATCTCGAGTGCACTATGGACTCAAACAATGATGGATCTGGACCAAACTTGGCACAAATTCTCAATATGCCCAAATGTGAACACTGATGGAATTTGGAGAAAATAGACCTTGACATTTGGGAGTTGTAATTGCTGGGCTTTATAGTTCACCTCCAATCAAAGAGCATTCTGAATCCCACCAATGATCCAGTTGGGCCAAACTTCCCACACAGAACCCCCATAACCAACAGAAAATACTATGTTTTCTGATTTCTTTGGCGACTCCTCTGACACCCCCTCATGACCCCCCCCCAGGGTTGAGAAACACTGTCTTGTCACAAAAAATTAATATGCAGATTTGAGAAATGTGAATTTAAAAATATGTGTGGGAATGAATGAAAGAATGGAAGATGAATGAATGAGTGGAGCTAATAATTTTGGAGACACCATTTCTAAAAGACCAAGGCCTGCAATGACTAACAACCTGCTTACTGGAATTGTAATTAAAAGTTGCTAATAAGAACAAAAAAGTAAACTCTGATAAGGACCGTGACAATGGTTCTTTCAAGTTAAGAGAAATGTTTGCAACCTTCCTTATGTTAAGAAGGAAGTCAACACAAGCCTTGTGTTTGTCAACACCAATCAAGAAGAGTCAACATCTGGCCAGGAAACTAAGATGGAGCCAGGATGGAAGACGTCTATCATTCATTCACAACTTTGGGATGACATCAGCAGAATATTTCTATTAAAGACTCAACCTAATAATGCTCAAATTGTGGCAGACCTGAGGAGTCTGGTTCACCCGCCAAGCTCTGCTCCAAGGGAAGGAGAGGCGCAATCGTGCGGCTCTCCAGATGTTGTCCTTATCTCAGCATCCCAGCCCATGAAGAGGGATGCTGGGAGTTCCCACACACATCTGGAGGACTATGTGACCTCTGCTTCTTTTCTAGAAGTCATTTCCGGTGGCCAAGATCCAGAAAGATGTAACCAAAACGGGCCAAAAAGATGAACAAAGACGGTGCAATATTATGGACCTTTCTAAAGCTGCTCCCACTTGAAAGGGTTCCCACCATGGCGCCCATCCTGCTGGACCGTGGTTGAGGATGCTTGGAGATTGAGCCTCCCTTACGGATCCGGATGGTGGCAAGGACTCCTTCTCTTGTTTTCTTTATGTGTGTGTGTGTGCATAGGGCGGGGAGGGTATGGCCTCTTATTTGTAAGCAATGCTTTGTTTTTCAACATCTCAGGGAACGCAGTGCTGTTTGTTCATGGCGTCTCGGTGTGTAATGCGTATCCGTCTCTGGAGGGAGAGGAGAAGGTGTGCTTTGAACTCCAACCAATGAATCGTCTCCTTTTCCAACGTGGCGGCCGGGGGGGGGGGGGGGGGGGCGGGACTTGCGCTTTGCCTCCAATGCTTTCTCATCCCGCATCGCACCACGTTTCCGTTTGGTCCAGATGTAACCGCTTGTACATTCTTGTGCTGGAGTTAGGGAACACAATGGGATCTTCACGACTAATAAAAGAAGATTTCGATTTTTTGCTTGTGGGTCGAATGCTTTGTGCTCTGTGTGTATGCTTTGGAAGTTGTGTCTTGCATCTGGCTCTTCGCTCTGTGGTTTGGTTTAAGTGCAGTGACTTCTTCACTTCACTTCACTTTATTTCTTAATTAGTCGCTCTCCACCAAGGTGCTCCGAGCGACTTACCATCTAAAATAGCATTTCACAATATAAAAACATTCAACAGTGACTATTTGGCAAATTTGATCCGGTTACTTAAATGCACAGCCAAACAGCCAAGTCTTGAGCGCCTTTGCAAAAGGTCGCAACTCCGACATT